GATTCCCAGCACCCACATGGTGGCTACGAACCGTCCTTAACTCCAGTTCCAGGAGAATCTGAAGCCCTCTTTTGACCTCCACGGCATTGCATGACACGGGTGCACTCCCATACATGCAGGCAATACACTAGTACACATAAAATAAAAATAATAAATAAAATATTTTTTAAAAAAGAAACGAATAAGAAAAACACGGTACCCTTTATGTAAACTTGATGAGTGAGACTAAAATAAAGAAATAATCGCCCTCCCCAAGAAAGAATTAATTAGAATTGCCATAGATAGGCTATGCTTTGAGAGGGGGAGGCGGATGTGGTCAGGGGGATTTCTTTTCCTTGCCCTACCTGGCTACTTAATTCAGCTGTCATCTTTTTAAAAAAATGTATTATTTTTATTTTATGTGTATACATGTATTGCCTGCATGTAGGTAAGTGCATCCATGTTGTGCAATGCCCGTGGAGGACAGAAGATGCTGTCAGATCCCACAGAACTGGAGTTACTGACAGTTGTTACCTGCCATGTAACACTGGTTGCTGGGATTCGAACCCAGGTCTTCTTCAAGAACAACCCGTGTTCTTAACCACTGAACCATCTCTCCAGCCCCCCAGCTGTCATCTTTTAAGAGTCAGTGCAAGATCAGCTGTGTAAAACTTTTAAAGCTCCCCCTTCTATCTCACAGTCCTGGGAAACTCTTAACATTCACCCTCCATTCTCCACTGTAATTCATAATGCTTTGTTTTTATCAGGTCACTTGTAATTTTTTACATAATTTTTATTTTTTACAGACCTTTTCTCAGTACTAGAATGCAAATTTTTTGAGAGACCATGGCCTGGCTATTCTCATCTCTCTAAGGGTGCCTGACATACAGAGTCACATGTTAGATAGTATCTGAATTGATCATATATAATAAACAGGAGACTAGCAAGAACTCATCAAACAAGAGACATATTTTGGTGGTCATATTAGGAAAGTATAATTACTCTTGTTCTTAAAGGGATTTGCAGGATTAAAAAGCTATTCTCCCTTTTCCTGTGAAGGAGATGGGAAAGACGATTCTCATTTTGCAGAAGGGAAACTAAAGTCTGGAGGTATGAGAGTAATTGAACTAAAGCACAAAATGAGCCCATGCTCCTGCAGCCTTCTCTTTCCCACCATGGCTGTAGCCCTTGCACTGTGAGAAAATAAACTTCCTTCCTGACGCTGCTGCTGGTCAGAAATCTGGTCATCACAACAGGAAAAGTAACTACCACCCTGGCCCGTTGGTTTGATAACGTGGGCACCATTCAGTTGTTCTCCTCTTTGTATTTAAGTAAATGTAGATTTACGGCATCACTCTTAACAGTTGCAGAGTTTCTCAACATGCAAAATTTATGCCACCAATTATTTTAGGATGAATATTTGTGTGGTTGCCAATTTCTCATTATTATAAGCAATACTATAGCGAACATAATTTATTCATCATATGTAACATTTGGTGAACTTCCATGATTATTTCATTAGGTTGAAGTCTAGAATGGAAATTCCTGGGTTAAAGAACAAGCAAAGTCATCCTGAGAGACGCTGATCCACACTGTACGCCCTCCACACATCTCCACAGCCGCCAAGTCACAAAAGTTCTGTTGATTTTGAAGGAATTAAAGGTGACTCATTTCTGTCTTCGTCTCACTCTTCTGATACACAAAAACTCTTTCAAATAAAGGGAGCTGGTACCAGGGTTTCATTCGGAGTCTTGAGTTTTATAACCTCAAAAATTCCATTTCCACTTCAAATAACACTTCTTTTAGATTACATGAGACTAGCTTTAAGCAGAAAATGAGAGGGAGCGTGTCTGCGTGGTCCTGGCTGGCTGCTAATTGAGAATCCAAGCAAAACTTTATTTTACCAAATTTGAAACACAGTCAGACTATGACAATGAATCAACCACAATAACACCTTTAATGTGAGCCAGGCAAAGGGGGGGGGGACTCAGCATAGGAGTTTGCTCTTAGAATATCATAAGGTAAAGTAGTGTAGCCACCAATTTATCAGTTAAAAGGCTGTTTGCAATAATAGACTTATATTCCAATAAGTCTATATCGAGAAATATTTAGCAATAAAATGCTTTCCCTGTCAGCAATTAATTATAACAAATTCACATTAAAATGCACAATAAAAGTAATATGAAGAAGTCTGGGTATTCTTTTGAGGACTAAGGTTTGTGAGAAAATGACTGTGATTTTTATGCCAACATGTATTTAATATTTAATAGATTATAAAAAGCAGGAGGCAGAAACACTGCAAAAAGTTATTTTTGTTCTTTCTGTTCCTCACGTCTGTCATCTTCAGTTCTGAGCTCACTTGTGGCTAATGGCAGCTGTTGAGCGATGGTTGTATCTATAAAGGCTGAATAATTTTCCAGGACTTAATGAACTGCTCAGCTCACAGTTCTGAGATTCAGTGCAGAACCCTGGTGGTGGATTGTGTCTCTATTTAGAATGGATTTCATATTGAAATGTGTCTCCAGATTTCTATTCAAAAATAGCCCAGATGGAAAATGGGTTGAAGCTGTGTGTTTAAAGTGAGAAATGGCTATGCTCAAGGCTGCAATGTTTATCTGTGGGAACATTTCCTAATAAAAAGAGGGAAGATTGACATATGGTTTCAGTGGTGCTTTTTAATAAATTATCTGTGCTTGCCATTGGGGTAAAGCTAAAATAATTGTCTAAGAATAAATGCCTTTTTAAGATAGTATGAAAATTGTCAGAAAAAAAAGCACCTAGAAATTAACTTCTCATGAAAATGTGAAAGTCAGCATGATTTATTGAGGGGCAATTGTCCCATTATGAAAATCCTGAAACTTCACTGAACAGCAAAAAATGGAGCTAGGAGATGGCTCTTGGTAAAGTGACACATGAAAAAAGGCATGGTGATGTACACTTTTAATTCCAGTGTTAGGGAAGCAGGGACAGGTGGATGCCTGGGGCTTACTGGCCAACCAGCCTAGACTAATCAGTGAGTTTCAGACCAGTAAGAGACCCTGTCTGAAAAAAAAAATGCTGGGGGGGGCATGGCTGCAGAGATGGCTTAGTGGTTAACAGCACTGGTTGCTCTTGCAGAGAACCTGAGTTCGGTTCCCAGCACCTGCATGGCAGCTAACAACCATATGTGACTCCAGTTCCAGGGGATCCAATACCCCCTCTGACCTCCATGGGCATTGCATGACATGGGTGCACTTACATACGTGCAGTCAATACACTCATATAAAATAAAAATAATAAATAAAATACATAAAAAGGGGTAACAGCACCTGAGAACAGCACCTGGGGTTGCCTTCTGACCGCTACATGCATGCACACCATATGTGCACCTGCACACATAGAGCAGAAATTTGTATAAACTGAAACCCATGTCTTCTTCAGAAAGATTACTCAATATTATAGATGTCAATTCGTCTTACATTGATCTATAAGTCTGCTATACTATCAATTACAAAGAAAACTAATAAAAACACAAATTTGCAAAACTAGTTCTAAAGTTCATGTGGAAGAATATTAGGAATAATTAAATTCATTCTAAAAAAAAACTGAGTTGAAGAAGTAGAATGGAACAAAGAATCTTTAAAATGTACAGCCATGGGGCTAGAGAGATGGTTCAGCGGTTAGGAGCACTGACTGCTCTTGCAGAGGTCCCAGGTTCAATTCCCAGCACCCACGTGGAGGCTAACAACCATCCACAACTCCAGTTTCAGGGGATCCGATGCCACCTTCTAACCTCCATGGGCATTGCATGACACAGGTGCATTTACACACATGCAGGCAATACACTCATACACATAAAATAAAAACAATAAACAAAATATTAAAAAACATACAGCCACAAAAAAGTGAAAATGAGGTCACACTAGCATGTAAGAAAACAAACT